CATTTCTTGTGCCAGTCTACCTGTGAAGCAAAGAAACACATTTCTATACATTTCTGTGACTAGCTATGTCTTTACCCTGCTCTTCAAAATCATCAGTCAGCATTACTGGATGCAGCTTAAACACCCCCTTTTCTTCTTTACAAAATAGAAGAACTTTCTGCAGTTATGTCTCCAAACCTTAGTTTTACCCCAAGGCAATTATATCTCCTAGGCTCCCTGCACTTGCAATTAGAATCCTCACCTGAAGTTCCAGGAAAAGTCTACACACCCACTTCTAGGGCAGGAGCAATGTTAAGCAAGCAGTGCTTTCAATATCATTGCAATTTCACAGTTGATTCTCTAAAATATGTTAGAGACAGGAGTCCCAAGGTCCCAGGTGGCCCGTTGCATAAACTCTCCCAAACATATTCTTTCACACCATCTACTCAGACCCATAAATTGCCGGGCAACAAGTGCTAGGAAGGATACACACTTCACACTTCATGTGGCTGTTGTCACCCCAGCGTCTGTGTTCCAAGAGTAACCTAGCTTGACGAGAGCATTCATACATTTACCTTTGTACATTCTGATGAAGCCACGTACAAGATGATAATGTTGAGAATAAATTGCACAAAATTGGGGTTGGCCTATTTGTTTATTTTTAGTAGGACACACACAAAAAAAAGTATCAATGGCAGCAGCTATTTTAAAAAAAAGCTCAAAAATATAAAACAAGACAAAAAAAAAAAAAAAAAAAAAAAAAAAAAAAAAAAAAAACAAGGAAAAATGAGTAAGACAAAAATGATGCTAGGTCCCTTGCCCCTGGCTTTAACAGAAACACCTCCAGTTTCAGAGATAAGACCACAAGTGAAGGCTGTACTGGGCTACATAATGTACTGGGCAGCTCCTAAAAACTTAAAAAGGACTCCTCCAACTCTAGTCAATGCATTCCATCCAAAGAGAAATGGTTTCTTTGTAACAAATAACACATTTAGGACTTGATGTTTTTCAGAGAACAATAAGGAAGGCTGTAGCCACACACACACACACACACACACACACACACACACACACTTATTTTTCTACTTTGAATTACAATTTAACAGGCATACAAGCAAATGCAAATTAAATGTATGCATATTTATGATTTTACTGGCTGGGTGACAGGGCCACCTTTAGTGGCTGCCTTTATTTACTAGAACAAAACCACCCTGCATTTGTTTCTATTCAAACAAGTCTCTTACTTTAAGCCCCAGATGGAACAAAGTATCAATTATGAATCTGCTGATGTATCTTAGTCATGAGAATAATAGCATATGGACCAGAATGGACATTTTTCACTATAATGGCATTTATTTTGACAATAATATTTAAAAACGTTAGTAGGAAACCACTTAAAAATATGCCTGCTCCTTAAGTTACTGGCAAACAGAAGTTTTCAGCAAAACTCTATGGTTCCTTACAGTCAAAGACAATAATATTTAAAAACGTAAGTAGGAAACCACTTAAAAATATGCCTGCTCCTTAAGTTACTGGCAAACAGAAGTTTTCAGTAAAACTCTATGGTTCCTTACAGTCAAATCTGCACCCTCACTGTAAATCCCAGCACATCTTGGAAAGTAAACCTTGGTAACAATGCTAAGTTAGTTCTGGCCTTGGCCCAGTATCCATGTGACCATGAGCAGGTCGGTTTACTTCCTAACTCTTCAGCATTCATACCTATAAACGGTGCATCTCTAAACAAGTTAATGCTGCCATTTGAATTCTTTATCAAAAGGAAATGGATCCCAACCCCTAATAAACAGCAAGGTCTATTCGCAGTATTTTAGATCCACCATGTCTGCTATCCCATTCTGCCTTACATAAAACAAAACACTCCCTGTTTATAGGAAGAAATGGAGAGAGAAGAAAATTCTTAAAGGGAACAGAAACTAGGTTGGTTTCACTAATTAGGTTCCTCCTCCAAAACCGCAGCACCAGTGTTAGTAGCTACTGAAATGTATGTACCTCAGCCCCCTTGAGTAAAAAGGACAGGTTGGTTTCTCCATCTTTAGACAAGCCCTTTTATAAAATGACACAAGTCAGTTTCTAGGGATGGATCCTTAAGCCAGCTATTCAATCTTTACTAACAAGAGGTAGAAGGACGTGATAAAGAGCATGACATAGATGGCATGAAAAGAGAAAAAGAAAAAAGAAAAAGCCCACTTGCATGCAATGAACTCAGGAAACAACATGGGTGATTAGCAAAAATAATGGGCTCCTTAGAAGGAATAAGTCACCTCTCACATCACAGGAAAATTATCTTCCATGCTGAGAATTTACACGGGAGGTACTGTCTATTTTATAGCATGCTTTTCTTATGAATGATATCATTCACCTCCATTAATTTAACAGCCATGGGGGGCGGTATTTACTATATGCAAATTACAAATCTAAAAAAAAAAAAAAAGGGAAAAGACCAGAAAGTAGTGGCATATGCCTTTAATCCCAGCACTTGAGGGGATGACAGAGGCAGAGGCAGGCAGGTCTGAGTTCAAAGCCAGTCTTGTCTACAGTGATTTCCAGGACAGTCAGGCTACCTTGTCTCAAAAAAAAAAAAAAAAAAAAAAAAAAAAAACAAACCCCACACACACAAAAGAAACAAACAAGCTAAACTAACTAACTAAATAAATGTGTGCATATGCTGTTGGAGTATTAAACCAACTTGTACCTGAGAAAACTTTACGCTGAATATTTTAAAGTCAAACAGAAGTAAATTTAAACCTATTTCTAATTCTCTTCCCCTCCATAGAGTGGTCCACAGTCAAAGTCAGAAAAACTAAACTGCAGTTGGAATCAATGAGAAGCTAAACCCCTTGGCTGACACAGGGTGGACATTTCTCTTCCCCTAAACTTTAGAAGAAAAGGACCTGAAGGAAGTAATGCCACATTGCTAGGAACCACAGAATGCTGAAGCTGACAAGAGAAACAGAATTCCATGGGTACTTTTTGGTTTGTATAAGAAAGATTTTTTTTTTAGGCTTGGAGATGCTATGATCTGGCACAGAAGCTGTGTTGGAGTTACAGCCTAGGTCACCAACCAGCATGCTGAACAACAGCATGACCTCATCCTGATCAGAAGTGGGACAATGACAGAAAACACAAAGCACCAAGCTGTGAGGAGATTAGATGAACTCTCCTCTCAGAAACTCCACTCACAGGAGAAGCGATGCACAACTCCCATGGTTGTCCCACCCTGAGTTTCCTCCTATCTGCAGTAAGTGAGTGGTAAGTCACAATGAGACTGTACTGCCCACCATGGAGGCAAGACAAGTCTGGCCAATAAAGAAAACAAACAAACAAACCCAAGAGTTCAAGTACAGTGCTGGCTCTGAGTTAGGAACAGTAAACCTAGCTGTAACTCTAACAACCACTTGTCACTGTGATAAATCCCAGAATCCCCCATGCCTCCTGTAAATATGCAATTATCATCTTTATCTCTTCCCCCTCAGAAATGGTTGAAATACAATGAGAATACTGAAAAGTATTTAAAAACTGCAAAAACACTGATGCAAATATTACGTGGTATTCTTCAGTCCTTCCAGTTTTCTTAGTTTGAACAAAACTGTAATGGGGCTGTACCTGTAAGCGCCGTACAGCTTCCCTTCCCAAGATGGACATCACACACCAAGAGTAGGCTGACTGCATTTCTCAGCCATCCTCAGAGGTCTCCGCCTTTGCACACATAACCAGCATTTCCTTCAGCTCAGGGATCATACATACACTTAGGGCTCAGTCTTGAACTTGGTTGGGCAAGATTGTTTTTTACTAGGTATTCCTTTCAGCGAGTAGCCCTCTGACAAAAGCTTCCAAGAACCCCCTTTATTTCATCACCACCAGAGTCAAAGGGAAAACCAATCCTTGGACTTTGATCTACTCCAACAACTGCAAAAACACTGCAGCCTCTCCACAGAACAAGAGGGAAGTCTTCCGGAAGAGGGACAAAGGGGGGTCCTCCAAGCTTAAGTTCAAGAGAAAGGAGTTGGGCCACTTCTTAGGTCAGATTAACACATTCTCAGTTCTCATATGGGCCCTTCATTTTACAGCGGGGACCTCCACTTAGCTGAGGCTGTCATCTAGGGGCAGTGTCAAGGGGTGTTACTTGGGGGTCAAAGTGTGTTTCCTTTAAATAGCATCACAGTAAATAGCAGATCCTTGTTCGAAGCCCTGATTTCAGTAGGCACGAAGAAAAAAATTCACTGACCTACCCAAACAACTTCTCTGGAACAGGTTTCTACCCAAGCATGCTGTGCACGGCAGACAGCAGGCATGCGGGGTGGGGGTAAGAAATGAGAACATGCTCATCTGCGTAGATGAGAGATAAGCAGACATTTGTTGTCTTCTGTTCTAACGACTCCTGGCACTAGAGTGGCCAATCCAACTCCAGCACTCTCCCACCCCGTTCCCCCATACTGCCAGCCCGCCGCCCCAGATGTTGAATCGTCACATTGCCTGGGCCAGTGGAGAGAGGGAACCGGTAAAAGTCCGTGACTGTTTTTAGGCTGGAACCGTACCTCAACCTGTTCCATCCAGCGCCGGAGCCAGAAATCACCAGAGCACCGACTCACGCAAGCCCCTCTGGACATCCCCGGGGCGCCTAACAAGTTCGTTGCTTTTTAGTAGCAAGGGAGAATGACGGGGGATACCTCTCCCACTGCAACCAAACTCAGCAGATTCCCCTGAAACGAAGGAGGGGGCTCTGGCTTAAATGAGACAGTGATCAGCGGGTGTCACTGCCACCCCAGGGACCGGGGTGGAGAGCCAGTGGGTGCCCGTGGGGAGTGCGCAGCTGAGGCCCCCCGAAGAACGAAGGTCCAGGTTCGGTGACCACGGGCGCCCTCTCCACGTCACCCCCAGCACAACTCAGACAAAGTGGCAGGGTGGAGAGCAAGCCGGTCAGGTCTCAGCAGAGACACAGAGCCTCCGGCGCGGCGGCTAGGGAGGGTGTAGGCAGGGTTGCCGGGGACGCGCAGGAAACTTACCTCCCCCGGCCGGCGTGCTGGAACCTAGGCGGCCAAGACCAGTTGCGCCACGGGCGGGCAAGTTGTCGGGATGTCGCGGGTTCCCTGGTGGCTGCGGCGGGCAGCAGGCGGGGCGGAGCCGGGACAGAGGCGGAGGCGGGCAGGTGCCGGGCCCTGCCGCGGGGCCACACTCGGCTCGGACACGCGGTGACGGGGACGCGCTGCTGCGAGTGTGCAATGCGCGCGCGCCGCGGCCGGTGTGCGTGTCCCCGCGTTCCTCTTCCTTCCCGCCGCTCCTCTCTCCAGCAGACTGGCAAGCGGACCAGCAGGATTCGGGAGCCGTGGACAGCGCTGCGAGGCAAGATCCGGGGTGGCGGCCGAGGAGTGGCAGCCACCGCCGGACTCCGGGTCCCCGCACGGCGCGCCGGAGTCCGAGCGAGGCTGGCGGCGAGCAGGCTGCGAGGCGGCCGCGACTCCGGGAGGCTGCAGGCCCCGCCCGCCAGCCGCCCAGGCTCTTCCCCTTTTCTCTCCACCCCCTGCTCCATCCCGCACGCCCTGCAGGGAAGCCAGACCGGTTTGCAGCAGCCTCGGGGCCAGCGGTCCGACCAAGCGCCCCAGTCGGTGCGTGGGGACCGTGGACCCTGTGCCGCTGGCTGCAACCCGGACGGGGGCAGAGGTGAAGCGGCTCTCTGGAATTAGTAGGAGCCTCCGAAACTCCAGGGCTTCTAGGCGCTTTTCGAAGTTTTGAAGCCTCACTGCGGACCTCTGTATTGGTGTAGAACGTGCCCCTGCCCCAGGCCACTGAACCAGGCTATGCCTGACTTGACTTCTCTTCCTTGAGGAGCCAGCACTTAAGAGCAGGCTCCTTCTGTCCACGAGGAAGGGACAGGCAAAAGTTCTGAGATCACAGCTGTCCTCTTCTAAGGATAGCAGGTGCTTTAAGGAAGGAAGACCTATCCAACAAGTAGGGATAGGCTAGTGAGGGGTCCAGCGCAAAAGCGTGGCAATGGGGCACGCCTGTTAGAGCTACTTGGAATCTCAACTAGGTTAGTATAGCTGCAAAGAGGGTAGGAGCCAGATCTAAAGATGCTGTTCTGGAGGCTAAAATTAAATTTATCCAACAGGCACAGGAAGGTAGCAATCCCTTCTAGTCGGATCGAAGCAAGTGGCATTTTTCAGCTTCGTAACTTCCTTCCACTTTTCTCAAACGAAACAAGACACTTGTGGAAAATATGGCTCACGTTCTGTGGGGTGGGGGTGGGGAGCATAAGGCCAGTATTTGATGATCCTTGCTTGAGGGGAACACTCCTTGAAACTCTACAAAGAACATCTGTCTGCAGTTTTGAAATCTTTCCCCCTCCCCAAATCCAGTGAGTTTGTCGTGATTTGATATCAGCCCAGAATGGAGCATAATAATTCTTTTATAACAAAAGTTACATTATTCTAAAGTTTTATTGAAGTGAAACCGACAAATTAAATCGATGTGCATTCTTATTTGACTTTATTCCCAGTGTATTTCTTCCAGGTGTGTCTGGCCACTATGGGAGGTTAAGGACATCATTGACCCAGGACCCTCTGACTTACATCCTGGCATCCTGAGATTACTAAAGAGCACAGCAAGAGCAAATAGGTGGCCCAGCTTGCACGCTTTTCAGATGAGAAAACCATGGCTCAAAGACATTCAGTAACTCACAGACCAGAACAGCTTCCCTTTCTCTTAGGCCCTGAACAAAATGTAACAGAAATACTGGCTTAACAGAGTTCAAGATGGGGCCAGTGGAGGGGGCAGCAGACAAAGAGGAACAGATCAAAGATCAAAGAACCTTCCTTCTTACTGCTGTGAATCACTGTCTAGGGGGCAGCATCACACAGCTCTTAGTAGCAGACTAGCTGAGATCTGGGAGTGTGTAATTTGCCTGCTCCTCAGACTTCCACTCTGAAATTCAAGGAGTGGGATATCAACTTGCTTTCCAGAGAGGCGATGTCAGTAAAAATACCCCAGGGGATTTGAAAACAGGCAAAGCCAAACCTAAGTGAAATCGCAGTGGATCAAAAGTGGGAGAGTGTTACATTCAGACACCCCAGTTGTGTGCCTCCTCCACACAGCTGCTTTTCCTATTAGCACCTAGACTGCTTTTTGTAATCACAGAAGCACATGGCCTTGGGCTTCTGTAGAGCAGTCCCAAAGCCAGCTACCTACCGGACATTTAGAGAGTTAACGCTGTGAAGCCAGACTCTTAAGAAATGCCATAAGAGCTTTGATGTTGCAGTGTTAGTTCTGTGTAGTTTGAGACAAAATTCTCTCCTGATTCTAATTCTATCGGTAGGGGATCAGGAGAGTCACCTTCTACTGGAAATAGAAGAGCATCAATATCATTAGAAATAGTGGCGTGGCCAGAAAAAAAATCTCAAAGCTTATTTAAAAAACAGAAAATACTCACTTAAATATCTTACTTAATTTCAAATATTTTTCCAATTGATTCAAGATCTTTGGTACAAAGTCTTACTATTATTATTTAATATTTCCCTCATACAGGAGACATGCATGCATTTCTTAAAACAGATTTAATAATATTAATGGTCCCCAATTGACAACTTCCCTTTAGCCAGTCTTTCTTCCTGGGATTTACCATGTGGTCTACTTTGGCCAATGAAGCAAGAACACACATGATACAATGGAAGTCTTGAAAACCTGTGCATTTCTGCATGAGCTCCTGGGACTCTGACATTACCAGGGCAAAGACCCTGGCCAGCAAGAGCTGAGTCATCACACTGGAGGTCATCTTTCCTAGCCAGCCCTCATTGTTCTCAGAGGCACAAACAAGTCCAGTGAGCTTAGTCAGGCTTGATCCAGATCAACAGACCATACACCCGAACCACAGGTTCATAACTAATAAGGAACTGCTACTTGTAGTTATCTACTACCGCCCAACAAACCACACTGGAACACAGTAGCCCCAAAACATTGATGCCTGACTAACAGGACACTAGATGAACTAATCTGAAAGCTCCCTTGGCTCCATTCCTCTAGCAAGGTGCTAGAAGGCTTCACTCTGATGTTAGGTATCTCAGTCCTCCACCACATTAATATAACCTCTTACTTCTCATATGGCTGGGCTACTCTACAGCATTCACGTTTCTTCCATGGCATCCAGTGTGTCTAAAAGGGAGAAACTAGAAACTGCCAGGTATTTTAAGGACTGAACTTGGAAGTGCTGTGTTAGTTCCCCCTCTTCCTAGTATCATGGATGCTGCCACTAGGAAAACAAACACAAACATGAAGCCAGAGGAAAGACTGGGATTGTAGCCATTGACATCAGACAGTTGTGCCTTTACCTTTCACAACTCTAGAATTGCCTTCTTTTCAGGGAAATGTATTTCTAAATAGACAAAGGGGCTTAAATGTTTTGTATAGCTTTATTATTTTTTTTTTAATTGCGGAGGGCTGAGTTTTCCAGGGTACCTAATGTTCTCTAACTTCAAATTCACTCTTCGGTTTTTCTTTTCTTTTTCCTTCGAGGCAGGGTTTCTCTGTATTGCTTTGGAGCCTGTCCTGGAACTAGCTCTGTAGACCAGGCTGGCCTCAAACTCACATAGATCCACCTGCTTCTGCCTCCAGAGTGCTGGGATTAAAGACATGCCCCCCTTCAAGTTCACTCTTAAGATTAGCCAAGTCTTGAAATCTCATGTCTACTTTTGTTTTTTGTTGTTCTTGTTCAATTGTTCTTCAGTTTTTTTCCATTTCTCTGGTCACTCTCTCCTTCCCTCCCTCCCTCCCTCCCTTCTTCTCTCCCTTTTCCCCTCCTTTCCTTCCTCCATTTCTCTTGTCCTTTCCCCTTTTAAAGTTTTATCTTGAATTTTATCTTGAATCTTGTAATTGAAAAGTTATGTTATATAATATATTCTGATCATGATTCTTCCTGTCCCCAGATCCTCCCTACCTCAACTCCACCCCTTTCTTTCTCTCTCTGTTAAAAAAAATCAAATAAGAAAAAAAACAAGAAACACACACACACACAGAGAGAGAGAGAGAGAGAGAGAGAGAGAGAGAGAGAGAGAGAGAAACTAAAATATACAAGCAAAAAAAAAAAAAAAAAACAATAAAGTGCCCAAACAAAGCAACATGAGACGAAAAGTCTACAAAAACATCATTAGGTTAGTTTTGTGTTAGCTAACTGTTCTCAGACATGGAGCCTAACCCAAGTGTGGCTAATATACTCAGTGAGAATCCATTGTCTAAAACTAATTTTTCCCTTTGCAAGTGATGTCAATTACAGAGGTTCTAGGTTAGGGGTAGGAAGGAGCCTGGGTCCACCTCACCCTCTCAGTGTTGGGATTCACATCTGGCTTGAACCTATGCAGGCTCTCTGCCTTTTCCCTAGTCATCCACCCCCTTATCACTCCTTACTTTTTTTTTTTTTTTTTTTTTTTTTTACCATGATTCAGAAGAACATTGACCTAGGAATCATGAGACCTGTGTGGTAGTTTGATTGAAAACTGTCTCCCATAAGCCTATGTATTTAAACACTTGGTCCCCCAGGTGCCACTGTTTGGAGAAGTTAAGGAACCTCTAGGAGGTTAAACCTTGAGACAGGAAATATGTCACTGGTGGTGGGCTTTGAGAGCTTATAGCCTTACCCACTTCCTGCTCTTTCTGGATAGAAACTTGCTTAGCCATCTTCCTGCTTCTTCCACCATGCCTTCTGCCACGCCATGCCTTCCCTACCTCGAGGACTCTATCCCTCTGCAAACACAAGCTGAGATAAAGCCTCTTCCTCTAGTCATGATATGTTATCACAGCAACAGAAAAGTAACTAATACAACTTACCTTCTCATCCTACCTCCTTCCCTACACTGGTGAAGTCTGCATTCTCTTTTGTTTTTAGACTCCTGGTCTACCTCACCAGAGTAGCAGAGACATGCTCTGAAATGTCCTCATATTTTTTACCTTCTAAGATCCTTAGCTGCCTTCTGCTGTATATACAGAGGCACAGTGTAAAGGTGGGTTGAAAAGTAAGGACCCTCTAAAAGCCTATATGATTCCCAATACCTCAAAAAGACTTCCTGTTTTTCCCTTATAACTAGGAAGCATGAAGCTTTCCCAGATCTAAGCCCTGTTTCATTCACACTTCTTTGCCCAAGGTTAGCATTATCTCTGCTCTTTTCAAAACCCACCAACGTCTACATTCTTCAGTTAGAAACGATATGAATGCTAGAGATATACAATTCTAAACCTAAAACATTCTTCCTCCAAACCTTAAGAGATATGAAAAAAGAGCTAATATAAGGTTTCTCTAACAGATTTCTACCAAAATAAAAGCATATGCACTATGCAAAAATTGTAC